AGGCAAGAGACTCGCTTGAGCCCAGGAGTTGGAGGTTGTTGTGAGCTGTAATGCCACGGCACTCTACCCAGGGGGACAGCTTGAGGCTTTGTCTCAAAAAAAAAAAAAAAAATAGGAAACCGGTACCAAAGAATGGGGATGAACTTCAACCTGAGACAGACAAGCAACCTCCATGGACTAACCCTTTCTCAGCAAGCATAAGCATTTGAGAGAGGTTCAGGTTCAGGATATGAGTAGGTTCTGCAGGCTATGAGCAGACGGCCAAATAGAATATATAAATCTAGGCTAATTATCTAATTATAAAATATCCAGAAAATGAGGCTAAGAAGAATAGGCTGCCAAGAAGCCAGGCTCAGTCCTATCAAGGTTGGGCCCAGGACTAATCCCCCACAGAAACCAGAGCAGTTGCCTGACCACTGTAATATAAATTCTGTGGCTGGCACTGAAGGTTGGTGTTCTTACTTAGGACCACAAAAGACTCCAAAGAATGTATCCTGGTTAGAGGGACATAGGTAGCATCATGCCACTAAGATCCCACTGCTGTGGGAAGGGACAGGCTATCCTGGAAATAGCTGGATGCTCACCGGGGATGGACAAGGCTGATGCCCACTCAGGAGCCGGCTATCTCTCATTACTTTTGTTTCCTTCACTTCTTTTTCTTTTAATTATAGTTTTCTCTATCAAAAAAAAAAATTACACATGACCACTGTAGAGAATTTGGTAAGTGAAGAATTATGACCACTTAGAAGTTTTAATTAGGACAGACTCTAGGAGCATGACTACTTACTAAAGAAAACATTTAGATAGTGATTAGTAAAGAATGCTATGTTGCTTCTCTAAGAAGTTATTCAGGTTTGTTTTTAAAATAAATATATTTGTGAAGCATAGCATTTGTAAAATGTTAACATCTTTAATTCTGGGTCCTCAGTTTATAAGAAGAAATGTAAGTGCATATTGTGACTTATCAGAGAACTGTAACTTTTTCTTGAATTTCTTGAATTTCTTGACTTATCAGAGAACTGCAACTTTTTCTTGAATTTCTTATGACCTCTCTATAGACCACAGAGGAGAGATAGGCTTAACTGCTTAGAAGCCAACCACATTTCCTAAGAGTTGCCCACTCTGCGACTAGATCTGTGAGCTAAAGAACTGGGCTCTGTGTCTTGATAGACAAAGAGATAAAGAGATAGTGATAGATATTTCGTGGTTTGGGTATTTTGTTTATTCTCATGAGAATTTCCTCTGGGACCCTATTGCCAAATCACTAACATAGATCAGTGAGATAATGTGCTTCATTTTGCAGAATTTGTCCTGCAATTAACTTTTCAGGACTCTACTTCTTTTGTCACTTAAAACCTCCCTGTTCTTCCACCATTTCCATCTGTCATGATTGCAATATGTAATATCCAGCATTCAATTTAAGACAGAGAGAAGCAATAGCTTTCAAAGTGCTTTTAAATTAAAAATAGCTTGTTAAAAAATGAGTGCTGAAATCAGTTTTAAATCTAGGTCACAGATTGCACATAGGCAGGGAGGACAGCAAGTACTTTTGCTCCCCTGAGCCCTCTCTCACCCCGCACTCTCTGCATAGCCATATGTATCCTTTATTCTCTCTTCCCTTGGAGAATAGTTCATACTCCAGGACACCTCAGATACCTCTGTTGTGGTCTTTATTATTGAGAAATAGAATTAATGTGTGTACATATCTATCACCTCTCTCCCCTACTGGACAATGTACTCCATGAGAGCAGGCACTATGTTTAACTGTCCAGTCATCCATGTATCCCCAGTACCTCGCACAGTGCCTAGCTCATGGAAGTCACCAACAATGTTTGTGGAATAATCGATGATTTGTAGGGATAACTTACTGCTCATAAAAAAGAAAAAAATAACCATGCTCTGCTTGCTTTCAGGAGAATACCTAAGAAAAAAAGGAAATTAAATCATCAGAGACCTACAAAAGACAACTTTGTTATTTTAGAAGCACACTAGTGATCTAAAAGAAAAAAATACTATCCGATTTTGTGGTTGAAAACACTAGGTAGAAGATACTAAAGAAGAATAATGAATTAAGGAAGCCATTTGTCTTATTGCAAAAGATCCTTTTCTTTCATTAGAATTACCTG